ATGTATATGTTAGTTTTTCCCCCAAATGGCCAAGTGTTCTGCAAAAGAGAACACTATAAGCTTCCAAATACTCATGGGAACTTGTAAACGTAATACAACATTCATGTAATTTCCACTTGCTACACAACACACCCTGAGGATGTTTTTCTGGAATATAACAAGTGGTTCTGTTGCTAAGAAAAAAAAAAAAGAGGTTGCTTGATGAAAGATATGAAAAAAATCTAAACACAGCCAAAATAATACCTTTGAACTATACCACTTTTTATATCAGAACAAGTGAAGGAAGAAAGTTACAAGTGTACCGTGTTAACTCTGTGAGACAGAGCCATATTCTTTCATTGTGGAACTGCATTTTGTAGCAAAATGTTATTATGCACCAGAAACCATTACTTCTTCCTTAAAATATTAATATCAACATGGTTATAACTAATTACTTAGGGGGGGAAAATATGGATTGATCTTCTCAACTGGCTTTTTCTAAGCACTTAAATTCATTTTCACTACCAGCTCTTAGATTTGTTTCAAAATGAACTAAATTTAAAGTATGGTCCAGGGAATGTAATAAGGACAAAGTATAGAGGGTCATTCTAGAGCAAATACGCAGGTACCTGCTAAGAAATCAACTTATAAAAAAATTAAAGCACAATTTAAATAATTATGATCATAAGAATACAAACATCAACAACTAATCTTTATGGAACTCTTACCATGTCCCAGCTACCCCACTCAAGGCTTAAGATATTTAGGATGAACCATATGAAAACAGCAATTTCGTAAGGTTCAACCTAATACACTTTCTCATTTAATTCTGACAACTACCCCAATTAAAGAATGTTGTTATCATCCCCATTTTACAGATGAGGAAACTAAAATTTAGAGGGCTTAACTTGATCAAAGTTAAAGAGCTAGGAAATAGGAGAAATGGGACTAAAACCTAGGTCTGAATCCAAAGCCCACATTCTCATTACATATTACACAATAACAGCAGTCTCCAAAGCCACTACATAGACAGTTGTGCGGGCTGTACCCTCACAAAGGACCCCAGCAAGGGAAGGGAGTGAAATGGGGCTGACATCCAGCCCATGCTTCACTATCCATCCTGTTACAGGATGGCATCCAACTGAAGAATGAGGTTCTCTCACTTACCAAAAATTGCTACATTGGCTTACAGTGGCCCTGATGCTGTTGGTATAATTTTTCTTTTTTTTTTTTGGAGACAGAGTCTCGCTCTGTCACCCAGGCCAGAGTGCAGTGGCGCAATCTCAGCTCACTGCAAGCTCCGCCTCCCAGGTTCATGCTATTCTCCTGCCTCAGCCTCCCGAGTAGCTGTGACTACAGGTGCCCACCACCACGCCCAGCTAATTTTTTGCATTTTTAGTAGAGGTGTGGTTTCACAGTGTTAGCCAGGATGGTCTTAATCTCCTGACCTCATGATCTGCCTGCCTCGGCCTCCCAAAGTGCTGGGATTACAGGTGTGAGACACCGCACCCAGTCTGCTGCTGGTATAATTTTTTTTAATTTTTAGAGAAAATTTTAATAGTACAGATTAAAAGCCTTAAAAGATATATATTCTTTGATCCAGAAATTTCACTTTAAGGAACTTATTCTAAGGAAATAATTAAGAATCAACACAAGGCCGGGCGCAGTGGCTCAAGCCTGTAATCCCAGCACTTTGGGAGGCCGAGGCAGGCGGATCACGAGGTCAGGAGATCGATACCATTCTGGCTAACATGGTGAAACCCCGTCTCTACTAAAAAAATACAAAAAACTAGCTGGGCGAGGTGGCGGGCGCCTGTAGTCCCAGCTACTCGGGAGGCTGAGGCAGGAGAATGGCGTAAACCCGGGAGGCGGAGCTTGCAGTGAGCTGAGATCCAACCACTGCACTCCAGCCCGGATGACAGAGCGAGACTCCGTTTCAAAAAAAAAAAAAAAAAAAAAAGAATCAACACAAAATTTGCATTACAAAGATATTTATCAGTGTTTATAAAAGAGGAAAAAACTAAAAAATCTAATATGTCCAACAATAGGGTATTAGCTGTTATATGAGATCTAATACGATTAAAATAATGTTGGAGAAAAACATTCATTAACTAATAAGCTTTTCACAAAATATTATGGGAATGACAAAATTTACAAAAATCCTAGTCATTTTAGTAAAACTAAGATGCATGTATATATTCTACATGCAGTATATCCGTGGATGGGGAAGGAAACAGAGAAAAAACACTAAGTGATGGAATTATACGTTTTTAATGTTCTTCTTTGTTCTACTTTCATATATTTTTCTATAAGATATATATAAGCCGGGTGCACTGGCTCACATGGGTAATACCAGCACTTCGGGAGGCCGAGGTGGGCAGATCACTTGAACCCAGGAGTTTGAGACCAGCCTGGGCAACATGGCGAGACCTCTTCTCTACAAACAAAAATACAAAAATTAGCCAGGTGTGGTGGTGTGTGCCTGTATTACCCAGCTACTGAGAGGCTAAGGTGGGAGGATCGCTCGAGCCCAGGAGGCAGAGGTTGCAGTGAGCTGAGGTCACACAGCTGCATTCCAGCCTGAGCAACAGAACAAGATGCTGTGTCCAAATAAAAAGTGTGTGTGTGTGTGTGTGTGTGTGTTATATAAAATAACTCAAAAACAGGTAAAGCAAACAAACAACAAAAACTACAAGAGGTAAATAACATAAAGCTGAAAAACTGTTACATACAAAGTCCAGCCACACAAAATTTTATTCTGCCTCCTAACTTGGAAATTATTGGATTGGTGCAAAAGTAATTGCAGTTTTTCCCATTATAGAATCTATGATATATTATGGTTGAAACTGAAGCAAAAAATACCTAATTTCATGTGAAACTGAGAAATCTAAGTCATTTTACCATATGGCCTGGGTTGAGAAGCTCTGCCTCAAAATACAGATACAAAACAAAGCACAGGCCAGGCGCCGTAGCTCACACCTATAATTCCAGCACTCTGGGAGGTCGAGAGGGGCAGATTACCTGGGGTCAGGACTTCAAGAGCAGCCTGGCCAACATGACAAAATCCCATCTCTACTAAAAATACAAAAATTAGCTGGATGTAGTGGCACGTGCCTGTAGTCCCAGCTACTTGGGAGGGTGAGGCACGAGAATCACTTGAATCCAGGAGGCGGAGGTTACTATCACGCCACTGCACTCCAGCCTGGGTGACACAATGAGACTCTGTCTCAAACAAAAAACAAAACAAAGCAAAAATTATATTCTAACTATCTTTAGATAACAAAAACTTAAATGAATGCTTTAAAAACAAGAAGCATTTTATTTTTAGTATTATTTATCAAATAAATAGAATTCTCAATAGAGTAAAAAAGCAAAAAGTGGCTCCTGATAGCCAGGAGTTGGCCTGGCACTATCAGCTACGCCTCAGGGTACTACAATTAAACATAAACAATTTCACAGAACACTAATATCAGACAAGGCCACCCTGTGCCCATGACGGGTCAAGAGAAAAATTAGACCACTCTGTCTAATCATGTCTAAACACAGACAAAACATGAACATTGTCCTGACCACCAAAAAAAACAATAATCAGGCTAGGCGTGGTGGCCCAGGCCTGTAATCCCAGCACTTTGAGAGACTGAGGCAGGTAGACCACTTGAGATTACAAGTTTGAGACCAGCCTGGCCAACATGGTGAAACCCCATGTCTACTAAACACACAAAAAATTAGCTGGATACGGTGGCAGGCACCTGTAATCCCAGCTACTCGGGAGGCTGAGCTAGGAGAATCACTTGAACCCGGGAGGTGGAGGTTGCAGGAATCAGAGATCATGCCACTGTACTCCAACCTGGGCAACAGAGGGAGATTCCATCTCAAAAAAGTAAAAATAAATAATAATAGCCAATGACCAAACACAATCCTGACTAATATGAATGACTGCTGTTTCTTTCTTTTTTTTTTTTTCTTTTTTCTTTTTTTTCCTTTTATTTCCTTTTTATTTTGAGAAAGGCTATCACTCTGTTTCCCAGGCTGGAGTACAGTGGCATGATCACAGCTCACTGCAGCCTCAACCTCCAGGGCTCAAGTGATCCTCCCATCTCAGCCTCTCAAGTAGCTAGGACTACAGGTGTGCAACCACCACACACAGCTGATTTTTGTAATTTTTTGTAGAGACGGGGTTTTGCCATGTTATTCAGGCTGGCCTGCAAACTCCTGAGCTCAAGTGATCTACTCGCCCCAGTCTCCCAAAGTGCTGGGATTACAGGCATGAGTCACCACACCCAGCCAACTGCTGTTTCTTTATCAATCATAGCTTTAGCCTTGCTCCATTTTCTTGCCTTCTAGATTCTTAAAAGTATTCCTACTTTCCAATAGCATCTAATCCACTGCAAAGCCCCACTTCCTTATACTCTAACCAAAATCACTTAACACAAGCCCAAATCTTGTATGGTTCCCTATGACACATATTCTCCCTCAGTATAATAAATCACCTCATCTTGTTTCACTGCAGATATACTCCTGGTGGTCTTCCAGGATATATCTGTTATCAACCAGATAACAAAAGTTGGGACTATACACTTGAATACAGGATGGATTAGGAATAAAATAATTACATAAAAATACCAATAATCAAAAGAACAGATAACATTCTACATAAAAGGATCTTTTGACACATAAACTTATCCTATCATGGATTTCCATGAATTCGAAATTCCCAGTGTTTATCAGCACTGTGATTGTTGACTAACAAATTTTCAATTAAATTTGCAAATCACAATGTAAATATAAAAAGTAGAACGTAAACGAAGAAACGAACCCCTGAAAATAATATCTATAACCATACAATTCTCTACTTTAAACACATTATTTTTATGTAGACTATGAGTTTCTTATTGACAAGTTTTGAAAAACAACAGGTTGTGAAAATTAATCTATCTAGAACACAGGCATGAGTTAGTATTTAAACGGTAAACTGCCTTCTGACTGATTTTCAAGGGAAACCTTGCCCTATGCATCCTTACCTCCTGGGTCCTTGTCTGGATTATACTCTAAAGCATTGCTACAGATGAGGTCAATATCTTTCAGGAAATCCTTTGCAGTTAGGTAATTATGTTTATCAATTTTAGTTATTACTGTTGATAAGTCCATTGGTTCCTTGATTACTTCAAGATAATCTGAAACCTAAAACAAATAAGATATTTTAATAAAAATTAGTTCTGGTTGTTCATATCATCTCAGTTCGTAAAAACACAAAATAAAAACAAAGTTCTTTAAAAATTAAATCTAAATATCAAATAAATAATTTATAAAGATAAAACTGCAGTGCTGTTTATGCTACCAAAGTTACTATCTGCCATACTTTCCATGAAAGCTTCAGTTTCCAACTCATACCTAAATCAACTCTGAAATGTTTCTGTTCTTAAAATGTGAAACTATGTCTGTTTTTTTTTTTTTTTTAACCCTTTGGGCATATCTGAGAAGAGAATGTATGGACAAAAATACCCAATGGGCATCAATAAATGTGACTTCAAGAAAAAGAAAAGGAAAATAAAAAGCAAAGACTTTTCATACTATGAGATAAGTTATTCTGATAAATCTCTTTAAATTTTCAACAAAAATTTTCTTTTTCAGTTTTCTAGAGTGAACTATTTCATGGAAAGTATTTTCTACTCCTTTGGAGTCATCACAAACATTTAGAGTCAATTACATAAGAAAATTAAGTATAGTTTTCCTAACCAGTATGAGATTTGCTGGATTTGTCCCTAGGTATAAAGAAATCTACAAACAAACAAACAAAAACAAACATGCTGCTTTCTGTGCTGATTTTCTGTGAGATAACCCTAAACAAGAGATATTAAGTCTTGATTTGCCCGATAAATTGTGTATCCCCGACCAATAAGAAAGTGCTAGCAACTTATGTATCTACTGCCTTCCCCAGTGCAAATCTCAAATCAAGTAAATAGGTTTGCTATAAAAGCAGTCTTAGCAGTAATGTCTAAAATTAGTCCAGGAAAGATTTCTAGGGAGATGGTTAAGTTCTACTCTATGATCGTAGGGTTAGTTTTCTCACAGTTTCAGAGGGCATCTATACCATTATTTTTAAATTTACATATTCACACACACGCACGCACATATACATAATTTATATGTTTTTTAATGTTTAGGATTACTTATAAAAAATATTAAGTAGAAGTGTATGTGTGTTTTAATTCATTTTTCACCTTTTAGGAGCTGAAAAACCAGTCAATCTCCCTATAAGAGAAGTAGCAGAGTTATACTGAAACAAACTACCTCAGAAGATATTAGCTGGATTCCTAGTTCTGGTATTTGACACAAATGCCTGTGTACAAGTGGAAACTGTTTTATAAACTAAAAAGCACTCTAAAATGTATATTATTAAAGACTATACATGTTACCACTCTATGCTTAATTTTAAATTTAACATTTGTTTTCTAAAGTTTTGTTTTCTCTGCAGTCTGCTTTGGAATTTGATAAAGTTTTCAGACACTTTAAATTCATTAGTTAAATAAAAACTTTAGTTTTAGGTTATCTTATTTCCCCCTCTCGATCCTTCCCAGAGACTTCTATGTTTTCAGCTTAAGAGCTGAATGAAACTGAGAAGAAAAACAAAGGAGAAAACAAGAAAAACATAAGCCTAAATAAAATATTTATCTGACCAACATTTTCTGTCCCTTTGTACTACCTTACCATCATTTATAAAACTATTACAGATGGCATTTGAAAATCTGACAAATCTTTTCTGATTGGAAAGAAAAGAGTTTTCCTGAGCAAAAGCAAAACTGGTTTACTCCCAGCATGGGAGGCTGAGTTGGGGGCAAGCCCTTATCCTTTAAGAAGTGTTAAGAGTCCAAATATACCAAATAGGGGAGTGGAAGGAAGGGCACGCACACATATCACATTTATTTAAAATAATTTTTTAATCAGCTGATAGTTTTAAGATTATCTAAAAACACTATGGGGGGGGAAATTCCCACAAATATAAACGGATATTTATTAATTAAAAAAGCAAATTAGGCATGTCCTGTTATCCTGTTGGAAAGATAGAAAGTAGCTATGATAATGAACGTGGGCTTTGAATTTTAAAAAACTTTCAAGTCTTGGCTATGTCACTTGCCAACAAGTCTGTTTCCTCAGCTGCAAAGTAAGAATAATAATAATGATCCTACAAGGTTGATAAGAGGACCAAATGGAAAAAACAGTGTTTGTGGATAAAGGTACAAATAAAATCAGTCTCTTTATTCCAAAAAGGGCGGAAAGTATTTATTTTCAGACTTGCCGGGGGCAGGAGGAATGTAAATGCTAGCTCATTCTTCCCAGCAACAGATGAGGTAATGGTTTCAAAGGAATCCGCTCAGGTCCAAAAGCACAGATTTCACAATTAGGATACAACATTAAATTCTGAATCACTCATAATTCAATTATTTTTTTTTAAAAAGAAATGAATAAAAAACTAAAAACACCAAAGCTGTTCAAACATGGAGTCTGAACTATAAGAAGGAGGCCAGTAAAGATTACACTGTGTTCATCCACACACTACATTATCCCAGGATAAAACAAAAACCAAAAATGTAGTTGACAGTATTGGATTCCCAAATGGAAAATTTCTTTTCTCATCATCACAAACCATGCTCCCACAAGCACACAAAATAATACACATATAAAGTGAGAAATTTTCCACTGGGAGCAGAGAAAACCCTTAGAAAGAAAAATAATTTAGTTGCACAGGATGTTTTAACTTCAAACAGCATTCCAGCCACAGGCATTTCCAAAATATGAAAGACAAAGAAACTTCAGGTTTTTAGCTACCTCTTTTGATGAGGTAAACATAATTTGGGAAATGCCAGTATTAACTGGTATTGATTGGTTAACACCAATATACTCTTTGAGAGCAGAATTTATCCTGGAATAAAAATAGTCTAGTATGGATATTTGACTAAGGCAACTTTTAATCCTCTTCTTAAATCGAAGAGTAAGAGACCACAAAGATTAATAATAATTAAGAGGACATATATAAATTGGTTGCTAATTTCATCCAAAAGTCACCAGATATTTGCTGATGACATAGGTAGTTATCACATGGATTAAAATTTTATAGGCTAGGGGTAATATTCATCCATGCCTTTGCTTTTTTTTCCTTCCAAAAAAAGATGTCAATATTTTTTTCTTTTAGCCAGTTCAACTTCACTGTTTGCACACTACTGAAACAAGACCTCTTCAATATCCACCGGTTTGCTGAAGATGTTAAAGCGTTTATCTGTGGCCAGCCTCTTGGTTACATCCCTGAGAAACAACCGCAATTCTCTTAAAGTATTTTCCTCCTGGTCCTCCATTCGATTTTTTTCTGATTCTGATAATTGACGAGGTGGAGAAGGTAGTGCAAGAGGAAGCACTTCCATAGCACAAAGAGCTAGAGAAAACAGAAGAAAATGTTAAGATTCCAACATGATGGGCTAGGACCCTTTTTTGGCATTCTCTCAAAATGTTCTTTAAAGAAAAGAATTACAAATACAGTCATGTGTTGCTTAACAACAGGGATACATTCTAAGAAATGTGCAGTTAGGCAATTTTGTCATTGTGTGAACATCATACGAGTATACCTGCACAAACCTGGATGGTATAGCCTATGACATACCTAGGCTATATGGTAAAGTCTATTACTCCTAGGCTATCAACCTGGACAGCATGTGACTATACTGAATACTGTAGGCAATTGTAGCACAGTCATATTTGTGTATCTAAACATAGAAAAGGTATAGTAAAAATACAGTATTATAATTTTACGAGGCCACCATCATACATGCAGTCCATCGTTGACCAAAATGTCATTATGCAGCGCATGACTATATGTGTGAAACATGCAAATCCAGCAAGTAAAAATTTGCATAGAAACAAAAAGGGAATAGCTTCACTTTATGAAATAACTCACAACAGGACCCCTTTAAAAAACAAAATCATTTGATTTTGAAATATTATTTATATATAACTTACAAGAAATAATTCAAATCAACACAAATATCTCCAAGTAAAGTATTACATACTGATTTTCTCAAGTCAACCTTGTTTAAAAACTGCTTCTTAAAATGAGATTGCCTTATATGCATAAAAAGTAATAATGGGCAAGTAATATTTGATCCTTCCTATCCCCAAAAGAATTCTGATTTTAGGCAGGTCTCCTGCCCTCATATTCTGAGTACAACAGAGTAGGGACAGTGAATGGCACCTGCAGGAAGGGAGGGAAAAAAAAAAAAAGAACAAAAAAAGGAATTCCACGGTCATGAAGGAGATGGAAAACCAGTCCTAAGTGTTATATGTAAAATCCATGGTACTCACTACCTATCCTAAAAAAAACCAAAAATCTTCTTAAAAGGTAAAGTATTAACTTTCCTAATTACAATGTTCTCTAATTTTAAAAGACTTCCCTGATATCACACTAAAGCTCAGAATTAAAATTCTAAGTATTTTTCACTGATTTCTAAATAGCTCCTAAGATGAAAACTGAAAGTCAACAGAAACAACTGAAAAAGAATATCAACGGAAAATTCAAATCTATGAGATTAAAATATATCTAGAAGCATGAAAGACTGAAATAAATCATTTTCATAATGAAATATTTAGATTAACAGGAAGCAACAAAATAAACCATAATTTACATATTAAACTTCCCAAGGTTTTGGGAGGGAAAAAACCAAAACTACAGCAATTTGATAGGTGTTCATTTTTAAAACACCAATAAAATTTGGAAAGGAGCCATTAAAGAACAATAAAATTACTAAAATGTTACATAATATAACCAGTGAAAAACAAAGCAAAAAGAATATGGAAAAATAAGGACTTGGCAGGGATGGGGAATGTATTGAGTATCCTCCAAGAAGGGCTCTAAGAAACATAAAAGATGGAACGAGGGTAAAGAGGCTTAAAAATTTTTACCACACAGGATTGTTACTTCCTAGAAGAGGCTGAAAGATTAAGCAAGTAGATCTTATCCTTTACGCATCTTTAAGATTAGGAAAATAAAACCTCTTTCGAATGACTTAGAATGCAGCCCTTACTATGTCAAGGAACTGAAATCTGACAAATTCTTGAGGTACCTCGTAAAGCTCAATTCTAGAGTCTAAAATTATTGAGTCCAAACCCAAGAAAAATCTAACACTTAAAACAAAGCCAGAATAGATTTTCAAATGGCTAGAATAAAATGTTAAATGTAATGGGTCCTAACTAAGTCTCTGAAAAGTCAATCAATAAATAAACTAGAAATGGCAAATGTTCTAACCAGCCCATCAAATCTACCATGGCCCAAAAAGGAATGAGCACAACACCTGGTGTTCACAACCTGCCAGTTCAAGTCCTGGGTACTTACTGTGACTAAAGCGTAGGAGAACTGAAGACTTTTTTTCTATGACTTTTTGAGCCCCATAATGTGAAATCTACCAGAGGAAGTGGTTGAAGTCATAAGAAGAAGTCCTATTTAGTAAAGCTTTAACAAGGCTATACTTCTCAATCTCAAGTCAGATGAACACAATGGACACTTCCACATGTCATCTAAAGATAAACAGAACCTGACAAACTCTCCTCACTTCCATGAAGAAAGGGCTAAAATAAACTGACTCCAAGAAAGGGCATTTCTTAACTCCATCCCCCCCCATTTTCCTAAAGGCTTTACAAACTTTACCAGCATGTTTCCTTCGTGGTGGAGCCATTGATGCCTGATTGAGAATCAATTCTTGAAAAAATTTTCTTCTGTCTTCTTCAATAGGCCTTTGAATATACAAGACCTCTTCATACTGTATTCTAAAGATACATTTAACCTACACATATACACACACACAAAGACATTAAATATATAAAGAATTAAAAGCTTACATATCATACCAAATTGCAATGTCTTCATCTTCCAGTATCATGTTCAATATTCATAGACCATTCACATGGGGTTATAGTTAACCTAGTCCTAGGCTATGCCGTTGAAGGGTTCAACCTCATGGGCTAAACAGGAATGGTAGAATGTCCAGTTGCCCAAGTCATTAATGAATGATACTATATATCGAGTAAGAGTCATCAGACAATAGCAAAAAGGATAGCTGGTTGTAACAGATGGCAACAATCTCAAAGGGCTTTTACATAAGAGCTGAAAAGTAATTACTTAGAATCTATAATAGAGAGCTGGAAGAATGTTAACACTGCCATCTATTATCCTCATATTTCTTTGTATTCCCTATTCATTGACTTCCCTTCCTGTGCTCTTTCCCTACAAAGTCTACTTCACTGTAATCTCTGGAATCCTGGTTCCACTGCAAATAAACTATACCTCTGGTCTAGTTTATGTTCCATGACACACTCCAAAAAGATTAAGCCAATTATTCTCATATCTTTCAGCTCCATCCACTTGGTGATTACTCTCACCTCTTCTGTTTACCTACTCAGACTTTGACCCCAGGTGTCCACCTTCCAAGATATGCTGTTTAAATCCTCTTTACCTCATCCAAATTTGTCTACTATGGCATTAAACACTGTATTTAATTTCTGGTTTTTCTAGAATGTCTACTTTCTACCTTCTAGACACCACACTCCCTGAGAACAGAGATCACTTCTTATTCATCTGTTTTCCTACACCTATCCCAGTGCCTGGTATTTAGCATGCCTAATAAGCATGTACTGAAAGAGTTAACCTTGTGATTTTTGTTACCCAGCCCAAATCAAATTGGAAACTGCAAATAAAAAAAGGGAGGTGGTCACTAGTATGGAAAGATATACCAACCATGACACTGAGAAAATATGGATTAGAATCGAAGACATCATATTCTTGCCCATTTAGCCACACGTTTGTGGTCTAAATTTGAATAATTCATTGAATTTGTCATTTCTAACCACTTACTGGAATAAGCCTATGAACTGAACCCTTAAAAATTCCATAAATATTATGTCATTCAATCTTTATAACAATGAGGTAAGTATTATTTCCTCATTTTACAGATGAGGAAACTGGGGCTTAGAAAGATTTAAGTAATTGGCTTAAGGTAATAAAGTGAATAAAGAAAACTAGATTATATAAACTCTAAATGCCTTTTCCAGCTCTGAAATTCTAAGAGAAGAAACAATGAAAAGTAAACATCAGAATTCAAAAACTGGATGGGGAATTATTTATCTCAACCTAAAGTCAAATCACTTAAGTTTATAAAATTTCACCTTGTGTCCTGCCAGTGCTTTTGTAGACTACCTTCATGCACAGTTCCCTCCAACTCTTTAATCTACGCTTTGCTGGCCTTTCTTTGAAAATTCTGGAAGTAAGTTTACTACTGAACATATTTTGGATGCCAAACATCATGCCAGACACTGCAGTTATAAAACTAAAGAAAATGTGTTTGTTCTCTGCTGTCACAGATCTTAAGAGTCTCAGAAGAAAAGCATTATGATACTATGCTGGGAGTACTATAACAGAGGTAGCAAAACACAGAGAAGAGACCTTGCAAGGGATGAAAAGACTCTAGGTAAGATGTAGCAGAAATCACTTACATCAATTGGGTCTTGAAAAATAAGTAGAACTTAATATCCTAGACGTACCATGATTTCGTTCAAGAATGGCAAAACATTTCATTTTAACTATTCTCTCCGATAACTTTCAAAACTATGTTAACACTTTATGAATACAAAAGCATACCAAGGACAGGCCTACAATAATCCATGGATATTCTTACCAGGTTACTACCAACACCTCTGAATCCAACATTTTATAAGTGGGATAAATTATACTTCTCTAAGTTCACTCCTAACCTTATCTTCTGACAGTCCTAGCCTCAAACCTTATGCTGTACCAAAGACAAGTCTTCCATAATTCCCAGAACAAATCACGCTGTCTTTCACATTGGTTCACACTGGTTGTGATACATACTATTCACTCATTCCTGACCCCTTCTTTAATGCACCACTCAAGCTGATGCTTTCTGTGTGATGCCTTCCCTAACTTTCCCAGATGCACTTAGGCACACCTTCCAGTATTTATCATTAAACATTTTTTGAAAAAACAGTTCAATAAAGTTCAGTAAATTTTTACAGTTGTGCAGCCATCACAAGCACACTTTAGAACATTTCCATTACCCCAAAAAGTTTCCTCATGCCTACCTGCAGTCAATCCCCACTCCCACTCCCATGTCCCAGCCTAACAGCCACTGATAATGCTTTCTGTCTCTAGAGAATTGCCTCTTCTAGACATTTCGTATCATAAAACTGATAGTCTTTTATGCCTGGCGTTTGTCACTTAATACTTCAGGTTTTTCCAAGTTGTAGTATGTATTAGTATTTCATTCCATTTATTGTTGAATAGTATTTCATCACATTTTGTTTAGCCATTCACCAATTAAAGAACATTTGGATTGCTTACACTTTTTACTAGAATTAGTATAACAACTAGAAACATTCCCATACAAATGTCTTTCTGTGAACGTATGTTTTCATTTCTTTTGTGTAGATAACTAGGAGTGGAATTGCTGAGTCAAACCATAAATTTATGTTTAACTTTGGAAAGTGGATGCACCATTTACAATCCCACCAGCAGTATATAAGGACCCCAGCTTCTATATCCTATCCAATACTTGGTATTGTGTATTTTTGATTATAGCTATTAGGTTGGTGTAAAAGCACTTTTTTTTTTTTTTTTGCAGCTTTTAATGGCAAAAAACTCTTGCCCCAACCTACACTTTAGTAGGTTGCAGTGGTATTTCATTCCTGAATGACTGATAATGAGCATCTTTTCATATGCTTATCATCTATTTACACATACTCTAAGGAATCTCATATAAAAGGAATTATACAAAATTTGTCCTATGACTAATTTAGCCTAATGTCTTCAAGCTTCATCCATGTTGCAACATGCATCAAAATTTCCTTCTTTTTAAGGCTAAATAATGCTCCATTGTATATGCTACATTTTGTTTATCCTTTCAACTATCGATGGACACTGAGGATGTTTCCACCTTTTGGTTACTGTGAATGATGCTATTGTGAACATGGTGTACAAATACCTGTTCGAGTCCTGCTTTCGATTCTTTTGAGTAAATGCCTAGAACTTGATTTGCTGGATCATATGGCAATTATATATTTAAGATAATGTCATACTGTTTTCCACAGTGGCTATACAATTTTACATTCCCACCAGCAATGCAAAAAGGCTCCCATTTTTCCACATCCTCATCAACATTTGTTAATTTCTGTTTTTTTAATAATAGCCATCTTTTTTTTTTTTTGAGACTGAGTCTTGCTATGTCGCCCAGGCTGGAGTACAGTGGCGCGATTTCGGCTCACTGCAAGTCTCCGCCTCCTGGGTTCCTGCCATTCCCCTGCCTCAGCCTCCTGAGTAGCTGGGACTACAGGCACCCACCACCACGCCCGGCTAATTTTTGTATTTGTAGTAGAGACGGGATTTCACAGTGTTGGCCAGGATGGTCTCGATCTCCTGACCTCGTGATCCGCCTGCCTTGGCCTCCCAAAGTGCTGGGATTACAGGCGTGAGCCACCACGCCCAGCCTAATCTGAGTTTTCAACGCCCTTACTTGATTTTTCTACTTGAAGTTACTGATTTTCCTCTCCCAGGTCCTCCCATAAACCTAAAGACACAACTACATGAAACAAGTTGACAAAATGCCATATGTAATCTTACTTTCATCATCAGAGTTGAGGAATATTTCTTTAAATAAAATTAATTTCTAATATACTGAATTACATAATCTGAAACTTGCTCATAATAATTTAATAACAAAGCAGATACTGTGAATGTCTTCAGAAACAGAAGTACAATTCTGGCCAAGGTTTATAATCCTTTCTACAAATATCTCTACTTTATCTGCTTCCTCCCTTAAGAGTCTTTTTTCTGTGCTCAACCTTAAATTAGCTCTCTTCTCTAATTCTCCATAAATATCTTGCAATTCCCATATATCTCAACTAAAATTCTCCAAGTATCTTCAGAAAGGGTTTATAAAAGTAAATTTACTTACACTACAATTCTGCATGGTTCTCAAGTGGTCAAAAATTTAAAGAAAAAATATTTTAAAAGAAAAAGAATCCTGCAGAAAGGGAGTGAGGCTGGGCAAGGGTTACTTGAATTCTATGTGATGATTCAACTGTTAGTTCCTTTTTTCATGCAGTAAACTTTTACTGAGTAATTCCCATGTGTTAACACTGTGCTAGGAATGGGAGAAGTGATGGGTAGTAACACCTGAAAGAGCTAGTGGTCTAGAGACCAGAGGTTCACAAAGTTTTGGTCTCAGGACCCCAAAAAAGCTTTTATGTATGTGAGCTATATGCATCAATATTTACATATTTTAAATAAACCCATTACATATTAACATTAAAAGAATAAAACATACATTATTTTGAAAAATATGTTTTTCCAAAATATAGAGAGAACATAAAACACATAAAATATAAAACAAAATTTAGTGAGAAAAGTGGCACTGTTTAATCTTACTTTTTTGAGACAGAGTCTCACTCTGTCACCCAGGCTGGAGTGCAGTGGTGCAGTCTTGGCTCACTGCATCCTCCACCTCCCAGGCTTAAGCGATCCTCCCACCTCAGCTTCCTGAATAGCTGGGACTACAGGCACGCGCCACCATACCTAACTGATCTTTGTATTTTTTGTAGAGATGGGTGTTTTGCCATGTTGCCTAGGCTGGTCTTGTACTCCTAGGCTCAAGTGATTTGCTTGCCTCAGCCTTTCAAAGTGCTGGGATTACAGGCATGAGCCACCACACCCAGCCAGCACTGCTTTAAATGTTTTCAATTCTCTTTTGTGTCTGGCTTAATGGAAGACCACTGGATTCTCATTTCTGCTTCTGTATTCAATCTGTTACAATATGTTGTTTGACTGAAGTATATGATGAAAACCCAGACTCAGCAGATATGTAGTTGGAAATGAAACTTGATAATCCCCTGCAAAAGTCTTGGGGACTCCTCAGGGGTCCTTGGACCACACTTTGATAACAGCTGGTCTGGTGCAATGATTTCTGACATTTCTTGATCAAACACCTCATCAGTAAAAAATCTGAAAATATTCCCATCACTATATGCATATTTATTTAAATATACTATTTTGCTAATATACTACTCGGAAATAATATATTATAAACCATATACACATGAAATATACTGTACTATTAAATATACTATTTTGCTATACTATTATTAAATATACTATTAGCAAAACAGTATATTTAAGAGTACGGTATATTTTTTGTGTATATGGTTTATAGTATTATTTATTACAAACCATATACACATGAAATATTTAATACGAAAAATAAAAATGAACAGAAATGCTAATGTTTTTCCCAGGATACTAACGCACTGAGTACAAACTCATTGTGGGGACTATTGAACTACGAGAGACAGATACATACAAAGAGACGCAAGAGAATGTCAAAGAGGTTCTAAAAGATGAACTTGTCATTTTGTCCCACTAATAAGACACAAATCATGGAAGGACTAATTATTTTGGGGTTTTCTTCTATTTTAAAAATAAGGTAGGGAAACTTCCTTTCTCCTTCATCTGTGAATAATGGGGTTTATTTTCTGATTATAATGGTATTTATTATGGAAGATATAGAAAATAAGACAATAAAAAACTAAAATGACTACAACCTTTATATCCACAGATAATTACTATTAACATTTCTATGTATATCCTTCCAGTTGTATATGTATAAACTGGAATAATACCATACATATTGATTTATTACCTGCATTTTTTAAAACAATACATTTAAACATATTTTCATGACATTAAATTTTCTTTTGTTTTTTGAGACAGGGCCTCACTCTGCTGCCCAGGCTGGAGTACAGTAGCACAACTGTGGTAATAGGCTATTTTTTTCTCTGAGAATTGGTTTTGTACTGCCCACTCTCTACCTCATTTCTTCCATAGATCTGGCAACTTGCTAACCTACAGCTACTTGGTCTACAACTCTCTGTGCTGCTCATTCATTCACCAAATATTTATCAATATGTGCTAAATATTAGAGACTACTATCTTAGCTTGTGACCTAAAGAAAGCAAGCAGGCTAGGTGCAGTGGCTCATGCCTGTAATCCTAGTACTTTGGGAGGCCAAGATGGGCAGATTACCTGAGGTCAGGAGTTCAAGACCACCTGAGGTCAGAAGTTCAGTCTGGCCAACGTGGTGAAACCCCGTCTCTACCAAAATACAAAAATTAGCTGGGTATGATGGCAGGTGTCTGTAATCCCAGCTACTCGGGAGGCTGAGACGGGAGAATCGCTTGAACCTGGGAGACGGTGGTTGCAGTGAGCCAAGATCATGCCACTGCACTCAAGCCTGGGCGGCTAAGTGAGACTCCGTCTCAAAAAAAAAGAAAAAAGAAAAAAGAAAGCAAGCATTCTAATGGTAGACTTGAAATTAAAATGAAAGGCTTAGCTGGACATGGTGGCTCACACCTATAATCCCAGCATTTTGGGAGGCTGAGGCAGGAGGATCGCTTGAGACCAGGAGTCAAGACCAGCCTGGGCAACATAATGAGACTTCGTCTCTACAAAAATAAGTAAACAAATAAAATAAAATGTAAGACTTGGGAACAGAGGAGAATTTCCTACAAGCTATTAGTATAAAACATGTTATATAATTAAAAGAGAATTCCCATAATCTTCAGCCCACAAATATGATATTCATGATAGCTTTCATAACTACTTATAAAGACAAAAGCGAGAGGGAAAGGAGCTGAAATTTCAGAATTCAATGCTGGCAAATTTCTACTATTTTAGATAGTAATTAAGGGTATTGGTAAATAAATACTGAAAAAGTTTACTAGTCAGTAGGCTTTCTGAATCCATTAAAAGTTATGACAACAGTATAACGTTGAAAATGTATATGATATAATGTTAGCTTTAAAATACTAAACCAACAGTAAAATTACACTTGCATATGGGCAACAGAAGTAGGCAACATAAAAACTGCTTATCAAGAAGTCAGACTCATAAAACATTTATTTAAAAATTTTTCAACCAATATAGAGGGAAATTTTCAGGGAATATTCCCTATATATTCCCAACTAGAATCCTTATTTATCCCACATTTTAACTCTTTTCTTTCTTTTCATAAAATTATAATAAAACTGAGAAAGAGGATCTAACTTGTAAAGTGGCTCCTAGGTTATATCCAGGTTCAGGCCATTCTTCTAAATCAACTTCAGCTGCATTCCTATTTTATAATACTAATACCAAACATTTAACAGCTCCATAATTTCAAAAGAAATTCACATATACTGTCTCACACCAATGACCCTGTCTGTTATTATCCACATGTCATAGATGAAAATGAAGCAATTATAGGTTAAGTACTCATCTAAGATCAAAAGACTAGTAAGTCAATACCCTGGTTTTTCTAACTCTTGCTACATACAGCATTCTGTTAAACTTTATTGGACTCTATCACAAACATTTTGATTAGTGGTCTTCATATACCATCAGATACTGAACAATCAAAAATGAATTACTCTACATTTAATGTATTTTCCTTACAAAAAGCAGTAAATTATACAAATCTATTTTAGCAAGATAATGAAAGCTGAAACATAAAAGAACTCAGTAAACAAACACTTTAATCATAAAATTCTAAATAATCAAGATTTATATTATAGCATTTAAAACATGTAAATCTTTCATATAAACATCATTCCTACTTTGTCTCCTGGGAAAAATATTTCTAAGCATTTCTAAAGGAGAGTATTTCAAGACCTCGTAAGCTCGGGGTATTAAAACAATTTTTAAAAAATCGATTTTACTCAAGTAAGATGATCTACTAATTTTTTCTGAATCGACTGTGATTTTACCTTAGATATGAACTCAAAGTTAGATTTCTGATTTGAAAAATACACATATTAGAAATAACATTCAAGTTAACATGATGCTATCAATGAAAGAGCTGAAAGGTCAAATCTCATCAAATGACCTCACAGATGATAAGGATGAGAAGGATATAACTGATAGTGATATAGCCACAATTGTCTTAGAAAGCTGAGTAACCCTTTTCCAAAATGCTTGAGACTAGATGTGTTTCAGATTTCAAACGTTTTCAGATTTTAAAATATATGCACATATATAATGAGATTATCTTGGGGATGGGACCAAAGTCTAAACAAAATTCATTTAAGTTTCATAAAAACCTTACACACATAACCTGAAGGTAATTTTATACATTTTTAATAATTTTGTGCATGAAACAAAGTTTTGACTGCAACCCATCGAGTGAGGTCAGGTGTCAAATTTTCCATTTGTGGCTTCATGTCAGTACTCAAAGAAGTTTCAGGTTTTGAATTTTTTAGAGATGCTGAATCTGTATATATACATGTCAGGTTCTGTTCTAAGCATAAATTATCTCAATCTTTATAACAACACTGTGGAATACCACTATACCCAAAAAGAAACTAAAACTTAAAACAATAAATAATTTACCTACATCACACAGCTAATAGGCAGTTACACCCAGGATATAAACCCTGACAGTATTGATTTTATAATAATTAAAAGGTATCCAATTTACAAGGTCAACTATTTTAGAACAATAAGGAAAGATAAATACTTAATCAGTTCTTACCTCTTCAGGCAGTTCACTGTACATGGTTTCAGAGGTAGACAATAAAAATATAGGTGAAAATGATGGTATATCTTGTAGCAATGTCAGAAAAGTTGCTCTCACAGTTTCACTGACAGCTTCCCACCAATCGCCAATGTGAGGCATGTAAACAACACTAGGTACTGTTCTTCGAGCTTCACGAAAAATCTGATTAAGGAAAAAAAACAGCATTAAACAACTCAAATTGATTATTCTAAAGTCTACCCAGTAATCTCCAAATATATGAAATGTGTCAGGCCTATTACAGTCATTAGTTTCAGCCTCAAAATTTAAGTTCAAGAAATGATACACAAGCCTTACACAGCTTCAGTCTACCCTTGCTCCACCAAAAAAAAGTACGTTTTGCCCTTTAATTATTCTTATTCAGTATATATTAACAGTGGAAGGTATCAAATTGCTCCACTTATCTAGCATGTAAAGATAATAAAGCAAAATACCACTGTAAAATATGCTGCAAATAAAGAGATAAATATACACCTATGGCACTCATGCGATATCCATAAACTTTACACAAAGAATAACAACACAGCTTACGTTTTTGAGCACCTTGACTAAAATCATACAATATATAAATTAATCATTTTAACCAAGATGTACCGCCCTAGAGCTTAAAATTAATGAACTACCTGCTGAACCAGTCATTCACCTCCTCCCATTATCTTAGTTCAATATTTTATAAAATAGTCACAAAATACTCTAACTTACCTAAAGAGCAAATGATTAGCAAAGAGCTCTGAGACACTTCCATTGTTGGAAAATACAAAATGAAGTTTTCCCCAGGTGTTAAAGAGTCTTAACCATAGTTTCAATCACGCTCTACCAACACAACCAGTAGGGACCAGGTTGGCTATTAGTAAGCTGCCAAGCTGAATTAATGCCCCTTACTTATTAAGTCGACAGTTTAATATCACACCAACAAATTCTGACATGTTAATAGGACATTTCTCATTATCTTTAACAAGTTAAATTATAAAAATCTTTCTTCCATTTTGAGAATTCTATTCCTAAAATGCTCTACTTATTTTCCCTTATTTTTAACACATTTCAATTAGCCTATGTAATATACAAGATACAGAAATAAGAATTAAGCTGGGCACCGTGGCTCACACCTGTAATCCCAGCACTTTGGGAGGCTGAGACAGGCAGATCACTTGAGGTCAGGAGTTCAAGACCAGCCTGTCCAACATGGTGAAATTCCATCTCTACTAAAAATCCAAAAATTAGCCAGGTGTGGTGGCGCACGCCTGTAGTCCCAGCTACTCAGGAGGCTGAGGCAGGAGAATCACTTGAACCCAGGAGGCGGAGGTCACAGTGAGCCGAGATCGCACCACTGCACTCTAGCCTGGGAGACAGTGAAACTCCATCTCAAAAAAAAAAAAAAAGAAAGAAGAATTTAATATTTAAAATTATTGGGATTATCGGAAACTATCCTAAGAATCAAAAGTATTATTTTTCTTTAATGAGTAAGCTTACCACTTACATACATTTCTTAAATAGTGTATTTTATACAGCTTTCAACCTTCTGTGTAAAATAAAAGATACTGCCAATTGAATAATAAACCAGTTGAAAGAGGCTCAAATAGTAATTGGAAAAAATGTAGATGTTATGATCACTCACATCAAAAGTAATATTTGCTCCTTCCCTTCCTTAATATTTGCATATCCACCAATCCAGAACAGTTGTACAGTACAACTCCTTCAGGACTCTCAAATTTTGACCTTTTCTGCAAACACGTACCCTCCTATCCTGGATCTTGGAAATCCAAGGATTATTTTTTTCCAAAGTTCTTGTAGAAAATTCATAAGAGAAAAACAAGCATAAATATTGGCAAAAGGAAAGAACCATGCAGAAGCACAAAGGCAACTGAGGCATTTATTTAAAAAAAAAAAAAATTACATGCCACCCAAATCAGGCATGGTTACATGGAAGACAGTGACCAACTCCTTTTGTCACTTTACAGTTCCCCACTCTGTGCTGGTAAAACAAGAGATAGTCAGCAAAGAAAGAAAGGTGATCATATGAAAGACTAACCAACTATAGGTTACTAAGAAACCTCACAAAACCAATCACTTAATTCGGCCATGCAAGCTACCACATACATGCCCAGGGTATGAGAGAAGACAGGAAAACATGCCTTTAAAAAAAAAGAAATTTTGCCTTTGATTTTAGTACTTCTAGGTTAGATTTTCCAGGAACATGTGCTGAGAACATGTAGCCATTAAAAAATATCAAAGAGGATGAGCAAAGCAACAGAAGGTTAAGTGATAATAATTTGACAGAGTCAGAGGTTAACTACAGGTATCTTAACTGTATTTGCAAGGGTGAACTACATACAATCATCACCAGCTCTAAGAGGTGAGGTTTGTTTTTTTGTATTTCTTTTTTTTCTCCAATTGTCTCAAAATTAACATGATACTGCACTCAAATTGAACATGATAGCGTATTGACCCCATTTAAAAATTTAGAAATGTTTCCACATTTCCAAAAAAATTCTTATTTTCATCTCATCTTCTCAAAATCAACAAATTGAACGTGACATCCTACTAGTCCAATAAAAAAAAATCTGGAGGCTTTTTACTTCCGAAGCTTTTAGGAAAATGTCCTTCTTGACAAAAAAAAATTTAAACTATATTTGAAAACTTACTGGGCAAAAAAAATCAGGCAAGTCTAAGATGAACATGGAAAAATAAAAAGGCTTCGCCTTTCTTATCTATGAGTGTATAATTACATGAATTGAGAATTAGCCTAACTACATGAAATACCAACATCTATGAAATATTTTTGTAATTTTTCTCCTAAGCCTTTAGAGGAAAACCATCCTTAATTTCTAGAAATACTAAAAAGCACTATTAAAACAAGCTTTCTTTTTAATTCCTTGTTCTATGTCATCTCAGAATATTAAAATAAACTTTTATATTTTCTTTAGATCTATAACCAGTCTGTTCTAATTCCCATTTTGTAATAAAAATTCAAAAAGAACAGAGTTTGAGAATAGCACTTAAAAATTCTTAGCATATAAGCAATAGGAAAAAAAAAAGTTTAATCCTAGTATGATTTTTTTCTGCAACATAAAAACAGCTCTTGAGCAGTTTGCTGGTAACTTTTAAAGTGTGGAGTAAAATACACTCTGTGAAATCAAATACCAGATAATTCAGAGTAGAAAAATATAGCCTAGTTTCAATGAAGCGGCAACTGGCTTGGGAACAAGTGATGCCATTTGAGAACTAGAAAAATACTCACCTATAGGGTGTCTTGGATTGGTGGATGTGCAAGGTGTAGTAGAAAACAGAAAAACTGTTATAGAAAAAAAAAAAAAAGACAGTAGGCCAAATTACTGAACCAACCGTTTCAAAATACCTCTGACATGACCAGCACTCTTGCACAAGTAAAATGAACCAACACCAGCATATGTGAACTGTTCATTTTGATTCTTTATTACATTATACTGCATTTCCTTCTGACCTCCTTCTTGCCACAGACATTATAAGGACCTTAGATAACAAATTTTTTAAAAACTTTCTTTATTTAAAAAAAATCACAAACTACTTCCTCTAAATATTAAAGATATTAAAGGCAAAAATCAGGCCACCGAACTTAGAAGTAGCCATCCAAGGAAGCAGTCATGATATAAACTGCACTTATAGTTACAAGAGTTCTAATCATCTCAAAAGCTAAACTTTGAAGTCAGCATTTTAGCCATCAAATTAAAATGTTCCGTCCATGAAAATTTAGTGTATTTTTAAGAATTTGTAGTCCCACAACAAGCCATTTCCTTTAGAAAGTGAAAACTATACAATTTTTAAACCCAAATGTGAATGAAGCAGAAAGCTCAAAGCCAGTATCACTTTTACCTGCCTAAAGAGGGCAATATAGAAAAGAAACAACTTTTGTCATCAAGAAACTTCCAGAACTTGTCTCAGTCACTTAATAGTATTATAAATATATTAAAATTATAAAACACAGGTAAAAGAAAAATGTTGGGACCTACAACATCCTCAATGTTTATAAAAAATGAAAGGCACTAATAAGTTTAATTCTTTGTGCCATGCTATCAGAAATTATTAAAATAAATAATATCTTTGCATTGCTGGTGGCTTTATTCCATTTTTATCCCTTTACTCTATCTATTTATATTCCCTTTATCTAAGATTTATTGAGAATCTCTTGTGAAAAGAAAGCATTGTCTGGATTCTAAAGATTCAGGATTCAATAAATAAGGTACAAATTTCTTTACATGCACACAAAATAAGCCTGTTATAGAACACATCTGTACTAGTTACTGAACTATGGTAGTAACACAAATTAGCATTTTATGAAAATTAAATCACTTAAATTCTTTTTCTTTTTCTAATATTTTCATTCCCTAAGGACTTCAAGAATTTCAGTAAGTATGATACACTCCAGGTCAGGATAACTTAACTTGTCTACAACTCAAAAAAAAAATTATTTTTTAAGTGTTGCTATGGAAAAACTCAGATATCCATGTGAGCAAACACAAAAGCATCCAAAGTACACACAGACTCCTACGGAGAAATCCAGAAATCTATAAGCACAAACACAAGAGCAACCAAAGTATACACACAGGTAAGTACATTAATGCCTTCAAGCTATTCAACCAAAAAGAATTTCCCCTGGGAAATTCTAGATAACAATTTCTCTCTGGGGAAATAAATGCATTTAAATTTTCACCAAGAAAAGACCTTATTCACCTTTTGAAATTATTCCCAACACCACATAGTACCTAAACTCCAAAGCTTTTCAGACCATATATAAATGCATTAATTGAATCAAACCTGTCTAATAATTAAAAAGATAAAATACAGCACACTTATCAGTCCCTTTTTTCTAAACCAACAATAGAAATATACAGGAGGCAAAAAATTATATTTGAGGATGTCAGAAAAGGAGAATCATAGTTTTGTTTTGTTTTTTAAGAGTGTTAATACCAAAGGTCTTTTACTACCAATATTAACATCTCCTGCCTTGCTGTAGGACTCAGTAATTACTTGTGAACTTAAGGGGGCAACCATAAATTTTCCAGGCTATACCAAGGGTTCTCATTCTCCTTCCAAAGCCCTTGGAAGACTGTGAAATGCTCAGTGACATACGTGTGTACACACACACACACACATGCGCATGTGTGCAC